ACTTTATTATTCAATCCATCGTATCTGTAAATTGTTTAAAATGCTAGCATTGATCTTAGCATTAGTAATTCTTATTTGAAGACCAGAGTTTCACTTTGAAGTAAGCATTACACATCCTTTGATACATACATTATGAATTACAACGCTGTCACCTTTTATGAATTTTAGTTGGTAGATATTTGTCCCATGTTTTAAAACATTACATTTGCAGGAAAATTTTATTCCATTAAAAATTTTAGTACCACTTTGATTTATTTCTAACCTCCATCTTAATTGAGTCTGTGAAACGCTGTCCCTCATGCACAAAGACATTTCTTCACTTCACAGGTCTCTCAATGCAACTTTAAATTGCTTTGGGATTTGGGGAACAATTACAATAAAACTTGCATAACAAATATTTACTCATGCACATCTGTGAAATCTGGCATTTTTTCTTGATCCTGACTCTAAGTCACAATGCTGTCATAGATATTTAGAATATTCTAAATTTGCTATTCTTGGAATTATAGGTAATTTGTCTGTTTAAAGGTAAGTTTTAAATAATATAAACTATCTTTTCAAATTCCTCAGTTTAAATGTAAGTGGTAAATACTATACTTTTTCAAACTATAATCATCCATTGGTATTTACAGGGATTGGTTTCGGGACCCCTATGGACTCCCAAATTCAGGTATGCTCAAGTTCCTTATATAAAATGCTGTAGTCTTTGCATATAACCTATGTACATCTTCCTATATACTGTAAATAATCTCTGGATTAATTATAATCATCAATACACTATAAATGCGATGTAAATAGCACTTTAGGCACCATTGTCTTTTAGGATGCCCCATCTGAATTTTTTTTTTTAATGATTAGTTGCATCTGACAATGCAGAACCCATGGACTGAGTGCATGTTGCTCATAGATGCCATCACACAAGTTTTGGTGTGTAGTGACCCTGTGTACAGAAGTACCATCTTTCACTTTATAAAGTCATTCTTTGACTTGAGTTTGTATTGTAGACAACCTTAGCAATACAGCTATCCTATTATAATTAAAGCACAGTTACTAATTTATTATCGTCATTACTATTGTAAGTAACTAAAATGCAATCACAGTTTGAAAACAATTTACATAGTCTGTTGCTTTCACAAGAGCCCCATGAGAAATGCAAGGCAAATATTTTATCAGTATCTTCCAAATGAGGAAACTAAAGCTGTAAATTAGAAGCAAAGAACTTTAAACCAAAAATTGTTGATCTAAATCCCAAGCATTTTCCACTGTGTCAAATCCAATTTATGTCTGTTAAAACAGATATTAGAAGAACATTCTTTATTTGCATTGCTTAACTGGTGACTAGTCATTTAGAGTGCCACCCTGTTAGTAGTACTGATCAAAAGGTACTTAAAAGATAAACAAACAAAAAAACACAATAAAACTGCTCCCACACTCCATATCCTCAGGCCATGTGACCTACCAAAGTTGTCCTAAATTGCTTAAGATGCAAGAAAGTAAACCTGTATCTTTTCAGTCATCATCAAAAAGTTATGTGCAACCACTATGGTTCTCCATAGATATATAGAGAGAAGAAAGGTAAAGAGATGAGAATGTTAAACAAGCCCCTTCCCCTTGCTGTGTCATTGGATGCAAGACAACTAGTTTGAAGTGCCAGCAGCAAAAGAATAAAGGCAGCTTAGCCTGCCTGGCTCAAGGTGATGAAAACGGAAAAGAAGACTTTTGCCTGGGAGAGGAAGACTTGGAGCAGGTGACACAAAGACTTAATTTGGATGGTTAAGAAATATTGTCTTACTGGGTGCCTAAACAAGTGCATTGGACACATCTGCTGCACAAGACCTCTTTAGGGTGTTTAAGAGCAAAGATGTAACTTGCTAAGGTGCACCTGATCCAAACCATGGTGTTTGCAGTTGCCTTATATGCATGTGAAAGTTGAATAAAGAAGGCCAAGGAAGAACTGATGACTTTGCTTATGAGGCTGGTGAAGAATATTGAAAGTACCATGGATTCCCTAAAGAACAAGCAGATCTGTCTTGGAAAAAGTACAGCAAGAATGTTCCTTAGAAGCAAGGACGGCGAGACTTGTCTTGCGTACTTTGGACACATTGTCAGGAGAGATAAGCTCTGGAAAGGACGTCTATCTTATGAGAGAAGTAGAGAAAAGGGAGAAGGCCCTTTAAAAGATGGACTGACAAGGGGCTGCACCAATGAGCTGAAACACGAGAACAAGTGTGAGGATGGGCCAAGACTGAGGAGTGTTTCATTCTGTGTGTACATGGAGAGGCCTTATGATTTGGGACGAGCTGACTCGATGACACCTAACAGCACTTCCTGGTAGACAGGACAGTGAAATCCCTAAGAGGCACAAATGGCTACTGCATTCAACTACGGAGGTGTGAGTCCACCCACGGGCTTTGGAAAGAAGGTCTGTCAAGGTACTTCTGAAAGGCCAGCCTTTAAAAATCATAGGGAGCTCATCCACTTTGACTCATAAAGGTTATCAGGAATCACTGCCAATTTACTGAGAGCTGGGCTTTGTTAGACAGCATTTTGGTTAAAGAGCCTGGGTTTGGATTTTGCCTGTGCCCATTGTAAGGGTATAATTTCAGTCAAGTGAACTGAGTTCCAGTACTGTGTCTGGCTCCTACAATAAAAGCTGGTTAATGAATGAAATAAAATTCTTAAAAAAATTTAATACCTTTTTAAGGTAGTCCTGGCCTTAAATTTAATAAATAAAACTGAACAATTTATTTTCGATACAATTTGATCACTGTAAAATTGTAATCTGTATATTCCCTTCTCTTCCATTTTAAAGTTTAAATATATCTTCAGTATATTTTTTAGCCTGAATTGTCTCAGTAATGGGAACCTCTCTTTTCAAGTTCAACTTTTGATATTCTTTTATTATCCCACCTACTAACATGCAATAAATTGAGTGTAATAGGGAAAAGAGTAACTATTTTGAGTTCTCAAAACTGCTAGCTCACCTCAGGCTTGACTGTGGTTTTGAATAGCTTTTTTGTAGTTTCATAAGATCAATTTCCACATCCCATCAATAATTACTGACAACCCATTAATCTAAATATTATAATTCTTTGTCTCACACATCTCTGAAATTTATAGAGATGTATGATGTCAAGTTTGGAAGTTCCAGGTTGCGAAAATGTCCTCCATGCTTGTTGCTATCTGCTTGTGGACTCCTTTCCTATCAAAAGAAGCTCAAAGTTCTCTGCCTGACACTGCAGCCTTTCTGTATTGGGGGTCCATGTTCCTTCCCTAACGGGCTCATTACCACGCCTTCACAGAAACTCGGCTGACCAAAAAGGCGTCTGACTCATCTTGAACGTTGTTTCAATATTTTCTCTTTCTAGCATTTATCTTCCTCTCCTCACTTCCAAGGTTAATGCTTCCTATGATTCCAGATTCAGCCCTAGCCTACAATTCTTTCTGAGTGTCCACTTGGCTCATTTATTTCTCATTATATTCTTCCTGCTGGGTAAATTAACAACTTTAACCCAAGCCATGCAATATAATTGTGTTTATATCTTATTATTATTTTTTATATCTTATTTTTATGTGATGTTTCCCAGTACCCTAACTTATCCGTTTCTTTCTCAGGATCATGCGTGGAACATGATTGGACTAAGGTAAGCTGTAATGTTCTGAAAAGATTGTAATAGTATCATACAAGTTTATCCTACCTTTTTAAATGGTGTCTTTCAATAGCATTTATTTTAGAGTATTTAATTATGGTTCAACTCTGGAATTTTCTGTAATACACAAAAGAACTATGTTCTTATTATTTTTCAGGTTGCTATACCAAATAATAAGACAAAGATAACCCATTGGATCAAAAATGTCTGAACAGTCTGTTGATTCATGTAGATAAAAGGCTTGCTACTCTTTCTTATTTGTAGACCAGTTGCATCAGCATCTTGGCAGTTTTAGAAATGCAGAATCTCTAGGCTGGTCCTGAACACCCAAACGTTTTTTGCAGTTCCACACAGTCATGTGTGAATGAACTCCAGAAGCAGAGGCCTGGGTGGTGGTCTCTTCAAACTTTCTTTTATCAACGACCTTATAGGACAGAATAGCACTCCTCTGTGGGGTTTTTGATGCTGTCAACCGTAAATCTGTACAAAATCATCGGGTGTGTGTGTGGGGGGAGGTTGTTCCAGTTGATGACCTTTTACTTAACAGCCCAATACTTAACTCATTGCCCTACTAGGACTCTTGACACACATGTATATTCATTTATGTAAAATATTTAAACATTGCTATTTGTTGTGGTGGTTTATTCCGGTTGATTTTTTTTAACAAGGAAATGATCAAGATAAACTGAAACTACAGAACAAACAAAGAGACTGTAATCTTCTCCAAAGATTATTTATCGTGTACGTGAAGAGCTGGTCTACTCCAAAGATTTGTCATAGGAGCAAACAAGATGTAAGAGTGTGATGCAATACAAGATCAGCAACTCATTATGCCTTTACACAGATGCCAAATTTTACTAATTGTTATTTAATGTATTATGATTAAGTATCTATAAACAAACACTGTGAAATTAGAAAGAAGGTACATGGTGCCAGACATCAAGGAAATAGGGCACAGAGTTACTTTTGACCATCTGCGTTAATCACTAATTCAAAATGTCTGTCCTTGGTTTAGTTGCAACCAGCATTTGCCCGCGGTACTGATAAAATACTTCACATCTGTCGTTTTAATATTCCATTCCAGAGGTTTACTTGCTGTAACTTGGGAACTTGTCTTAAACAGCAGGAAATGTTACTTCCGGACTTGTTTCTGAACATTAAAAGATCTCCCCACATGGACTATGAGGCTTAAATACTTCCAACATTCCCAATAGCGTTGCAATCCACTCATACACACAGCGGAAAATAACTGGATGTCAGCGCCTCAAGCAAACACATCTTTACTTCATCTTGAAAAATAATGGTTGCTCAAATGAATTTTAACATTTTTTCTTTGAAGAATATTTTTATATCAGGTCTTTCTTTGACCACCTGAAAGCAAATAACATGGACAAGTTTAACCAGACATTTGTGATAGAGTTTATTCTTTTGGGTCTTTCTCAGTACCCCAAGCTTGAGATCATTTACTTTCTTCTAATTCTAATGATGTATCTAGTGATTCTAATGGGCAATGGTGTTCTCATCACAGCAAGCATTTTTGATTCGCGTCTTCACACCCCCATGTACTTCTTCCTGGGCAACCTCTCTTTCCTGGATATTTGTTATACATCCTCCTCTGTTCCCTCGACAATGGTGAGCTTAATCTCAAAGAAAAGAAATATCTCCTTCTCTGGATGTGCTGTGCAGATGTTCCTAGGATTTGCAATGGGTTCAACAGAGTGTTTGCTCCTTGGCATGATGGCTTTTGATCGCTACGTGGCCATCTGTAACCCACTGAGATACCCCATCATCATGAATAAGTTGGTGTATGTGCTGATGGCTGCTTTATCATGGCTCTCTGGTGGAGTCAACTCCATTGTGCAAACATCACTTGCCATGCAATTACCTTTCTGTGGGAAAAATATTATCAATCACTTCACATGTGAAATATTAGCTGTTCTTAAGCTTGCATGTGCTGACATATCCCTTAATATTATCACCATGGTGGTATCGAATGTGGCCTTCTTAGTTCTTCCTCTGGTGATTATCTTTTTCTCCTACATGTTCATTCTTTACACCATCTTGAGAATGAACTCGGCCACAGGAAGACGCAAAGCCTTTTCCACCTGCTCAGCGCATCTGACGGTGGTGATCATATTTTATGGTACCATCTTCTTTATGTATGCTAAACCCAAGTCCCAAGACTTGCCTGGAGAAGAAAAGTTGCAAGCATTAGACAAGCTCATTTCCCTGTTCTATGGGGTAGTGACCCCCATGCTCAATCCCATTATCTATAGTTTAAGGAATAAGGATGTAAAAGCTGCGGTGAAATATCTGCTGGACTGCAAACCTATCTCATAAGAAATCTAGAATATGATTGCTTTTGCAGAGCAAACGCAAAGACAAACTCGGGTATACATTAGTAGGTATCATCTTTGGGGGAACCATCTTCAAATGTAGATATTTTAAATCTTTGCTTTTACAAGCACTGCTCTACAGTATGCTATATTGGAAACAGCAGTCTGCTATAAACTAGACTTCCTACATATCCTATTCTCATAAAGACAATGTGTCCCATTAGAACCTCATATCTGGCTATACCAGTAATGAGTGTTACTGGTGTAGTTTAGGGTACAGAATCACACAAGAGGGTTGGAAATAGAGAGACAAGAGTATAAATTCTGCTTATTACATATTGCCCACTCTTATTGGATATTTTTTTTGTTAAACTGTGGTTTCTTTATACTCATTTAATAATTATGTAAGTCATTTACTTATGATTTGTAAAAACATAATAAATTATTTCTATCTCCATATTGTTTAAAGTCTCAATGGGGTAAATATCTAGGATAGTATCATTGTCTTATTTATTGTCCTACAACTTCAGAATTGAAGTTAAAATTCAAAATGAAGACTAAAACATACTTCTTAACACCACATATTCCCCTATGCTAGGGACCCCGATTAGCAGTGGGTTACTCACCAAGGGAAAAAGACAGAACTGCTTGCTCCTTTAAGGATTTACAGCTTTGGAAATCTTAGGGAGCAAGTCTACTCTTTCCTATTAGGGTGCTGTGTGTCTCAGTCAACTGATGGCAGTGGGTTTAATTTATTGTTTTGGTTTCCCCCCCCCCTCCCCTATGCTATTAAATATCAGAGCCAACTATTAACCCCTTAACCATGACCTTATTCATATCCGTCCCACTACTCTTCTCCCCATTGACCTCCTCCCCAGAAAACTATGAAAACAGAAGATCTGTTCGGATCTGGTCAGAGGAAGAAATAAAGAAGAGGGTCTTTTATATCATGGGTAGTGCACAATGAATAGTAAAAGCTGATTTCCCTATTGTCCTCGTGGAAGAACGCAGGAAGGGCATTTTTTCCAGTCTTAGCCAAATGAAGGGGTATGGTGAGAGAGTTTCTTGAAGTTGTGGGTACTTGTCAAGCAGAGGGTGTCATCTGGCTTGATGTGAGGATTCTTGATGTGTTCTACTGGCTACAGAATAGCAAAAGGGCTAGTCTAGGGGGAGAAAGGTGGACATATAAGGACTTCCCCTCTAAACCAAACGCATTGACATTTTGTTGATTCTGATTCAGTGACCCTATAAAACAGAGAAGAAATGCTCCTTTGAGTTTCAGAGACTTTTAAACCTTTTCTGGGGCAGACAGTCTTATCTTTCTCCTGAGGAGCAACTGGTTTGAACCACTGACCTTGTGGTTAGCAGCTCAGTACCCAACCCAATACACTATCTGGGTTCCTTTTCCCATGAACTGCCATCTCACTGCCATAGAGTTAATGCTGACTCATTGTGAAACACACACCACCCCC